GAATAACAATAATCGATTGGATAATAACAATTTTCTTTAATACTCTATTGCTCAACTACAGTCGAATTTAGTTATTATAATTTGAGCGCTCAATACAAATTTACTTATATTTTTTATTTTCTCAAAAACCGTTATTATGCAAATTATTTACGAAAGTCATAAAGTATTATTCTATCTCTTCTCAACTCATACATGTACATACATATATACATACATCTATTTAATTAGTACCGCATAAAATTAGCATAAGAGCTTATTAGTCATAAATTGCATGTAATTCTAATGCTTTGAGCATCCAATTTCGGCTTTCATTTCATTATTTCACAAATTTATTGCATTATCGTYCACTCATTGTATTCATTAGACTGGCATGCTCGTAAATTTAGCGCTAAGCATTTACATATGTACAAATATAGATTTGTTGGAGAGTGTGTCGCCTGACCTAGAGCAACAACGCTTTGGCTGAAATCTATTTTGTGTAATTAGTAACCGAGATAATAAGCGTTTATATGGCTTATAGAGCACTTTGCCATGCCTTAATCTCTTCAGCGTTGGTGGCTGTGTGTTCGACGAACTAATCCCATTAAATAAATATGCTACAACTCTGAGAGTGCATACATATACCGTTACTCATAGCAATGCGAATAAACTGTATATAATCGGAATGCTTTTTTATATAACTAAATGAAGCGTACGCTCACTTATTTAACGGTATAACAACAAATTAACTTTCATGCATCTATATATAATATAATACATACACTTGTATATTTATCTGTGAAATGGTAGGATTATATATTAGGCTTGCGGCAACTTGTAGCATGTCAATAATTGTGGTGCTGTCAGTCAAGTAAATTTGCAGCTAGCAAAATATGCGAATGGTGTGTCATAGACGTTTATGCTAATATCCAAAGTTTTATATACAAATGTATGTGTGTAGACATAGACGTAGTATACCTTGTAATATATGTATGTATGTGCGTGCGTAAGTAGTTGTTGAGACAAGTCGCGTCTTGCTTTGAACGCTATTGATCGCCTCTTCATAGTCAAGTGATTACATACGATTTTACTCACCACACACCACTCACTCTCTGCCTCTCTCTCTATGTGTTGCCTTTGCAAACGCCATTGTACTTTCAGATATGACAGCGAAGCATTCGCGTGGATTCCTTCATTGTAAGTCAACTTTTTTCATAACAAATTTAATGAATATTTAATGAAAGTGTCCARGGGGTACTTTTGCCAAGTAATCAAATGTGTATGTTATACTATGTAGTTAGTATTATAAATATATGAAATAAGAGCCGTGTAATTTTACATATATTTCATAYGTGATGTACGTGGGTATATAATATCGATTTATTGAATAATTTCAGCAGTTGTAAATACCAACTGCTGTAATACGTTATAGGTTGTATGTTTACTCTGACTGTGGTCTTCTAAACCTGAAAAAAATGCTACTCTGACTGTGGTTTCCAAATCAATTTTGTCATATAGTATATATTCGAAGAATTTGTTTAATTAATGGTGTCAGTGAAAAAAATAAAAATGTTTTAAGAAAGTAAAATTATTTCTCTTTTTAATTTTACTGACCCTTAGTTTTTGATATCTGTCAAATTTTGTTCGTCTTCATAGATTTAAATACCAGTACATTTTTTTTCCCAATCATTTGTA